CCTGTCTCACTTACCTTTCAATCCTCTGTCTGTGTCATTCAGGACCTTATTACACATAAGAGGATTGGTTTAGCCCAACTGGATAGAGGACTTTACCTTTTCACCAAGACACCATCTTCAACTTTCACACCTCAATGCCTTGCAGCCACTTCCCACAATTTCCAGTCCCAGCAGTTTGATCTCTGGCATGCCAGATTAGGACATCCACATGTTTCCAGATTACAAGCTATACATAGAGTTTTTCCTTATGTAATAGCTTCTCCATACACTCATTGTGATGTTTGTCACTTAGCCAAACAGAAGAGGCTTCCATTTCCTTCTAGTTCCTCTATTAGTCCTGTTCTTTTTGGATTGATACATGATGATATTTGGGGTCCATTGAACACAGTTTCTTACAATGGCTATAGTTATTTCTTAACTTTAGTTGATGATCACTCTAGATGTGTGTGGACCTATCTTATGAAATCAAAGGATGAGGCAAGACCTCTCCTTCAATCCTTCTGTTCTATGGTCAAGTCTCAGTTCAACACAAATGTCAAAACCATCAGGACTGACCAAGGACAGGAGTTCCATATGAATGATTTTTATAACACAGAAGGAATTGTTCATCAAATGAGTGTTGTCTACACTGCACAACAGAATGGAAGGGTTGAAAGGAAGCATCAACACCTCCTTAATGTTGCCAGAGCACTCAAATACCAATCAGGTCTCCCTCTGCTGTACTGGAGTGATTTTATCCTTCATGCAGCATACTTAATCAATAGAACCCCTACACCTGTTCTACAAAACAAAACCCCCTTTGAAGTTCCTCATCAACTACCTCCTGATTATACCAGTCTAAAAGTCTTTGGCTGTTTGGCTTATGCAGCCACAGCAGGGCAACCTAGATCAAAGTTTGATCCTCGAGCCAAACAGTGCATTTTTCTTGGTATTCCATCTGGAATTAAGGGTTTTAAGTTGCTGAATCTTGAAACCAAACAAGTTTTTGTGTCCAGAGATGTGATCTTTTATGAACACATTCTCCCTTACAAACAACCTATCCCTTCTACTCCACCTACAAATCCAACCACTCCACCCATTTTCTCTGAACTATCTCCCTCATATGCTCAGTCACCAATTCTTCCTCCCAATCCTCTGACTTCTTTTCCTCATCAGCCTGAGGAGGACACTGCTACTCCCTTTACTTCACATCCTGATGAGCCTCAAGAAGTCACTTCTCCTCCCATTGGTACTGATGCATCCCTTCCTTTCCTCTTATCACCATCTCCATCTAAAACTCCTTCTTCCTCTTCTTCCAAACACACTTTTTCACCTTCTTCTTCCACATATACCTTTTCCCATTGTCCATCTCCCCATGAAGATCCACCTGCTCCTCTTAGAAAGTCAAGTAGAGAGTCAAAGCCCCCTTCATGGCAGTCTGACTATGATATGCACTATCCTCAGAGTAAGAGTATCTCTTACTCCCACTTGCAACCTAAACTCCAGAAGTTTGTTAACTCATTGATCACTCACATGGAACCAAGTACCTATGCTGAAGCTTCAGAACACCCTGAGTGGAATGAAGCTATAAGAGAAGAACTGCAAGCACTTTTTGATAATGGTACTTGGGAAATCACAGATTTACCAGCTGATAAGAATGCAATAGGGTGCAAGTGGGTGTTTAGGTTAAAGTTGAAGTCTGATGGCACAGTTGACAGGTTCAAAGCCAGATTAGTTGCAAAGGGATACACTCAAGTTTATGCGATTGATTATTGTGATACATTCTCACCAGTGGCCAAGATGGCCTCAGTGAAAATGTTATTATCAGTTGCAGCTGTTAAAGGTTGGCATTTGCATCAAATGGATGTCAGCAATGCCTTTCTTAATGGAGATTTAACTGAGGAAGTGTATATGGTATTGCCACCTGGATTGGATCTTGATGGAAAGTACAAAGGGAAAGTATGCAAATTGAAGAAATCTTTGTATGGTTTGAAGCAAGCAAGTCGACAGTGGTATGCAAAATTGACTGATTCGTTGATTAATCATGGCTTCAAGCAGTCTACTTGTGATTATTCAATCTTTACTGCTCATGTCTTGAATGAGTTAGTGGTGTTAATTGTTTATGTGGATGATATTGTTTTGGGAAGTTTGAGCTTGGAGTCAATTAATGCAGTAAAGAGGATGCTGCATGCTGACTTCAAAATGAAGGATCTAGGAGAATTGAGTTACTTTCTTGGCCTTGAAATAACACGTGGGAAACAAGGCATTACAGTTTCACAGAGAAAATATTGTCTTGATGTCATTGCTGAATCAGGATTTGGATATTGTAAACCAGCAGCAACTCCAATTTTTGTTAAGGAAGTTCTATCTTCTGAAGGTGGTACACCACTTGAAGATATTGGTGAATACAGGCATCTAGTGGGTCAACTTCAGTACTTAACCACCACTAGGCCTGACATCACTTTTGCTGTGCAACAGCTTTGCCAATTCCAGGATAAACCTACCACACAACATCTTAGAGCTTTGCACAGGGTTCTAAGGTACCTAAAGGGTTCACCTGGACAAGGTCTGCTATACTCTTGTGATTCAAGCTTGCAATTAAAGGGATACAGTGATAGTGATTGGGCAACTTGCCCTGACCCAAGAAGGTCAATTACTGGATATTGTACCTTTCTTGGAACTGGTTTATTGAGTTGGAAAAGTAAGAAACAAACAACTGTATCTCGTTCCTCTTTAGAAGCAGAGTATAGGGCCTTGGCAAGCCTGAGTTGTGAAGTGCAGTGGTTGATCAGGTTGCTGTCAGAGTTTGGAATCAAGCATGATGATTCTGTTTCAGTGTATTGTGATAATCAGTCTGCATTACATATTGCAGACAATCCTGTGTTTCACGAGAGGACGAAACACATTGAGGTAGACTGTCATGTCATAAGGGAAAGGGTTCAATCAGGGATGATTTCTTTACATTACATTCCCACTGAATTGCAGCTAGCAGATATTTTCACCAAAAGTTTGTCAATAGATCGATTTTTTATGTTGTTATCCAAGCTGGGAGTATATAACCTATACTCGCCAGCTTGTGGGAGGGTGAAAAGGAGCGTGGATGAGGAAGAAGAAGCTCCAAGATTAGTTGTTGTCCATGGAACAAATGCTGCTGATGTTGATCTGGAAGAAGGAATGAGGAAAGCAGAGAAAACAGAGAAGAATGAAGATGACGTGGCCATGGACGAAATGAGAAGCAATGCACCGTTTTGCAGAGTGCAACGGCAGCCTTCCAGTTTTACTGTTTAATTAGACATTTGTACAGCTCTGATAGGTTGATTAGAAAGTTAGTTTAAACGGCTAATTGTAAATCATTGTTTGCAATTGTATATAAACGCTTCTCAATGGAAAAGCTCACTATGAGCAAATTCCCCCAATCTGGTTTCTGTGCAAATTCCTCTAAACCCTAAATCTTCTCAGCTTCCGCTCCCTGGACCTGCCGCCCGGTTACATATACATGAATTCCAGCAGCATTCTAACTTCTCCCCGCGTCCGCAGCGCGCGGGTGTACACCAATTCCATCGACGAATTCGAGCACTCTTCCTCAATCAGTTGCCGCTTCTACGATGACTTTAGTTTCGTTGACAAACCCGATTGCGAGACATAACCCCAAGAACCCTTACTGGTTCAATAGGGATAGGTTTGTTCTGTCGGCGGGAGGATGCGGCAGCGCCTCTGGCGGAAGGGAGGGAAGGCTTGACGGCGGAGAGGAAGGAGAGAGAGTGGGGCGGGAGAGCCGAATTGTGGGCGATAGGGTAAGCAACTGGTACCGAAAAACTAAATGCATTTTTTTCAAAATTTAAAAAGGAAAATGATAAAAGGTGGAAATTATACAATTTTTAATTGAAAATTGTTGAGTTGGCAGTGATGTGGCGTGTTGACTGTTAGTCAACATGTTTGACCGTCCAAGTTAACGATCAAACATCAGGTTTGGCCAATTTCGTTACTTTGATGTATAGTTTGGGCCAGGATATTATAGATCGAAAAGATTGGCAATGATGCTTATTTTGGTCAAAGTTCAGGCCATACAAATATATTAACCCATTTATTTCTATCAAATAAATATTATTTTCGTGCCATGTTCGTTCTTATACTCAATAAAGTCTCAAAAATATTAGGCCCGACACAAGCCACTTATATACCGTGTCGTGCCCGTGCTCGTACCCGTGCCTATGAAGTTTAGGCCCGGCACGGCCCATAAATTATTCGTGCTCGTGCCGGGCTGGCCGATTTATTTCGTGTCTGTGCTCGTGCCGTGCTCTCAGGGGCGGACCCAGGGGGACACCCCTAAATTTCGGGAAAATGATTATCCAACCCCCGGTGGTAATTTACGTATAGACGGAAAAAAATATATAATTGAGAGTGAGGGACACCCCTGAAATTTGAAAAAATGATTATCCTACTGTCATTTGTGTATAAAAATATAAATGGTAGGTTGGATAATTCAAATCTAGAACACTATTATTAATAATAAACTTAATTTCCATTGAGCTACAACTCATTTGTTGTTCCATTTTGAACAATGTGTAATAGTAAAAAGTCATTCCCTATCTCTAATTATTTTAAAAACCTAACAATTAAACTAATTTCAATCTACCCTTAATTTGTATTGATTTTATGATTGTACGACAAGTGTTGAAAGAGTCTTTCAGCTTTGGGTTACATCAATAATAAGTTTACAAATCGAATATGCGATAAGTTCCTGAATGATTGTCTAGTAGGGTATATAGAGAATTTTTTTAACACTATAAATACCAAATGTATTCTACAATTATTTTCGAATATGAAAACACACTTACGATTTTATTTTTATTAATTATTTTTATTTTTATTTAATTTATTTATTAAAAAAGGACACCCCTATTGAAAATTTCTGGTCTGCCACTGCGTGCTCTAACCGTGCGGTGCTAGCTTGTGGGTGACCCGTTGCCTACGTACACGTCCAAGTAAAGCGAATGCGAAAAGCATAGTTTTGTGGACTCTCGAGCACCCACCGGCCCACCGCCCGATCGGACCTTTTACGCAACAAAATGAGGGAGTAGTTTTTCCGTCGAACGAATCGGAGGGAGTATCCACCCATCTCCTCAACTCAAGTTGCAAACGCCAATCCCACGGGCCAAGAGAAATGGCGAACTGGACTGACAATGAAATGGGGGAGTTTGTTCTTCGGAATTCAACACCAGCGGCAGCATTTCAGGACCCGACATTCAAAAGGGTTCGAGTCAGCTTTCAGTGGGGTGGAAGTGGAACCGTTTCAGCTTCGTGAGTACTCCTTAATTAATTACCGCCCTAGTTACAAAATTCAACCTTTATCCCTTTTTTGTTGCCTACTCTTATTATTATGGGTCCTAGCTAGCTAGGGTGCCTAAAATGTTGATGAATGCTGCTGAAAGCTATGGTTAAACGGAGAATTGGGTCCCAGAAATTAGTCATCGTTCAACTTCTTTGCCGTTTGGGATGTAAAAGCAGTGATCTTTCAAGAGTTTCTCTGTCAATTTTACTGTCTACTGCATTAATTTCTAACTCAAACGTCATTCTCTTACAGATTTCTGTTGGCCCTGAATCAGACTGGGAGGAGGCTCCCAATACAGACGACATTCCTGTTGGCATTTATGTTCATCAGCACCCCAGCACTTCCGTTCACAATCCTGAGGTTAGTGTTCTTTTAATTCTTATGAGTTTACCTAGGCGTAATTTCCCATGTTCTTAATCTGCTTCTGTTCTCTTTATACCCTAAACTCAATTGGTACTGGATCGGTTTTGGCATCAAACCTCTTAATCGCACTTCCTCAACCAATTCCAGGTTGTCCAACTCTCTTATTATCAATCTAAATCACTTTTACCATTCATTTAGTTGGGCTTTTTTTACAAAATTGGTTCCCTTCCTTCCTTTGAGTGCCTCGCTTGCTAATGTTCGTCGTGAAACCGGACTGCCTGGCCAATGCACTTCACAATTCATTCTTGGGTAGTCTCATTTGCCTTGCAATCGGAGGTTCGATGGTAGTAAAAGAGATTAGAGCCATGGGATCGACAAACTGGGGTTGTAACTTGCATTGCCTTGGATATTGGCTTACTATAGGTTTCCTCTTCTTCTTCTTCTTCTTCTTCACAATACTATCCATATCTCTCCTTGGGAACTTGGCAATGAATCATAAGTTTTTTTTTTTTTTGGCAAATTCTCTACTTTAATTTGCCTAGTCAAGCTCTTCAGTTTCTCTCACCCTGCTCCTGCTGAAAAGGAGTTGAGAACTTTTCTCTATCTATAATGATTTTGCTTCCATCAAACTGAAAATGGCCTTTGGGCCTTTGCAGTTTGCATGACCATAACATAAAGATTTTCAAGTCTGATTCTTGATAGTTTATGGGCCCTTTTTCATATGCAGGATTTCCATTATGTACATTGGCTTCTTTGAAATGTTGCATTAGGAAAAGATCCCCACTTTATGATGCCTAAAGTCAAACTTGGCGGCTTTGATGTCAAGTGGTAGAGTATTATGGGTCAGGACAACCAACTTGGAATATTAGATGCGTGTCTATTATTCTTTTTGTATAGTTTAAAATTTGCAGTCTGGTTAGACAACATTATTAGTTTACATCTGCAGCTCTTCAGTTCTCTCGTAACAAGGTTTGTTGTTGATATAGATGAGTTTTGATTGTGATGTGTGTGGAGCAGTCAACTTCACAATATCCTTTTTGTTACTTGTTTACCTATTCTTCCTTTGATGCTTCCTTTTCCTAAAATTCCAAAGGAGACTTTGGGTTCCTAGAAACATGGCTCTCAAAGAATGTTCAACTAGTTGACTTTCAACGTCCCCATTATCAGCCAGAGACAAGTCTTAAAATACCTCAACCCTGCAAAGACAGAAACAAATATCCTCAATTTGCCACAATGGGGTTCCTTCCTTTTGCCTTCTGTTTTCTCTTGTTCTTCTTGTGCAGTGTTCAGGCTCAGCAACCTTATATTGGGCAGGGGACGAACGACTGTTCGGTCACAACAAATTCAGCCCTGGGATACTCCTGCAATGGCGTCAACAGGACCTGCCAAAGCTACCTCACCTTCAGAGCTCAACCTCCATACACAACTGTTGATTCCATCTCCACCCTCCTGGGATCTAACCCATCTCAGCTGGCGGCAATCAACTCTGTCCCTCAAACAGCAACCTTCGACAGAAACCAGCTAGTTCTTGTTCCTGTTACTTGCTCGTGTTCAGGTCAGTACTACCAGGCAAACACATCTTACGTTGTTCAGCCTGGAGAAAGCTTCTTCCTTATCGCTAATGATACTCTACAAGGACTCTCAACTTGCCAAGCTATTAGAAATGGGACTAGGGGAACAACAGTCAATATATTTCCCGGTCAAAGACTCAATGTTCCTCTTAGATGTGCTTGCCCTACGAGGAACCAAACTGGCCAAGGGATCAATTACATCTTGAGTTATTCGGTCACTTGGGGGGATATGGTTTCAACGGCGAGTTCGAGATTTGATGGTGATACTGGCTGGACTCTTCAGGCCAATGGACTTACAGAGCAGAGTGCAACAATCTTCCCATTCACTACTCTTTTGATCCCACTGCAAAACCCTCCTTCTAGTATCCAAACTGTGTCTCCACCACCACCTCCAGCTTCCCCTCCCCCTCCTCCTCCGGTCGAGCCATCTACACCTGGATCCAGCTCCAGCAAGACGTGGGTCCATGTCGTTGCTGGTGTTGTTGGAGGGGTCTTTGCTACTTTGGCTGTTGTTGGGACTGTGGTTTACTGTCTGTGGTTCCGAAGAAGGAAGGCGAAGTTGGAGCCAGCTGGTACTACTTCCGAGAGCTTCGAGGCTGTGGAGAAGAAGTCTATGAAGAATAAAGGAGAGGAAGAGCCTGAAGGTTTCTTCTTGGAGAGGTTATCTAGTATTGCTCAGTCCATTCAAGTTTACACATATGAGGAGGTGGTGGCTGCCACTGATAATTTCAGCCCCAAATGTTTGATCAACGGTTCTGTTTATCAAGGCAAGATTAATGGTGATCTTGCTGCTATAAAAAAAATGGATGGGGATGTGACCAAGGAGATAAATTTACTCAACAAGATCAACCATTCCAATATCATTCGTCTCTCTGGTGTCTGTTTTAATGATGGCAATTGGTATCTGGTTTATGAGTTTGCTGCGAATGGAGCTTTGAGTGATTGGATCTATTCATCCAGCAACGGTGGAAAGATATTGACTTGGACTCAAAGAATCCAGATTGCTGTGGATGTAGCTTTGGGACTCGACTATTTACACAGTTTCACGAGTCCTCCACAGGTTCACAAGGATATAAAAGCTGGGAATGTGCTTCTCGATGGTGATTTCAGGGGCAAGATAGCAAACTTGGCACATGCAAGATCAGCCGAAGGACAGGATGGCGACTTCAACCTTACAAAGCACATTTTCGGGACGAAAGGTTACATGGCTCCCGAGTATTTGGAGAATGGTCTGGTTTCTGCAAAGATTGATGTTTTTGCATTTGGAGTTCTTCTTCTGGAGATGATAACTGGGAAAGAAGTTGCTTCCTTGTATAAGGAGGGAATTGATGGTTTGTCCGGTGTTGTAAATGAAGTTCTTCTTTCTGAAGATGGAGGAGATAATATCACTGGATTTCTTGACCCATCAATGGAAGGGAACTTTCCATTAGAGTTTGCTGGCTTTGTAGTGAGGCTGGTTGATGGCTGTCTGAAAAAGAACTCTCGGGAGCGTCCAGCTATGAGCGAGCTCGCTCAATCTCTTTCAAGAATCTTGACGGCTTCACATTCATGGGAGTTGTCTAACAACATCTCAGAGTATAGGAATCTCAAAGATGAAACTTGACAAGTCAGCATTCTTTGTATATTGTGATGTTTTTTCCCCGTCTTCTGATCTTTGTCCTTTGCATTTGGCATATACATAAAACTTGGATCATTTCCCTCTTTTCATAGTAAACTAGTATCAATACCCACTGCTACGCCGCGGGGACTATTTAATATTTATACATTCAATTCTCTTTTTATCTATGAAACATTAATTCCATCAAAACAGGTATCATAAAACTCGTATAAAGCTAGTCTATTATGCATTAGACTTCTATGTTAAGTAATAATCCATAGTTACTACACACAATCAAGACCAATTGCTGCCTTTGACCTTCTACCTTGGCAAATTTGAGGCTTCAAACCAGTATCTCACCGCCATTTCTTTCAACTCCTTTCCTTGGTCTGTGTACCCCTCATCCAGTATTTCTATCACGTTGCAGTTGTCAAGTAGGTGCTTTATGCACATGTGTTGGCCTGTATAAACAAATTTGAGGCTATTACTAATGAGACAACAATGAGAAGCTCCCAGTTGGGGATGAGAGGAAGATAGAGTTGGGGATGAAGTGCAGCCAAGAACTACAGTAATTACCTGTTGTTCCCGGAAGATGGTCTAACTGCAGAACCACCACCGTTGTCAAACCCACAATACCCTAACCACTGCTACCGTCCACCACAATCTAAAGCAAATTTCCAGTCAAGTAGAGTTCTGTAATTGCTCCATCACATCCAAGTTTTTCAGTCGATGGAACAGAGAAAATGTATGTCCTTCTGTAATAGAAAATAATGAATCATGTCCATCAATGAGTTGAATCCATAGTATACAATGAACCACCAGAGCAAAAAGGTAGAGCCAAAGCCTCGAGTTAGTTTAGTCTTGGATGTGACCTAATGCACTTGACAGTATCCATTATCAGCTAGCATAGATACCTTAATGTATTGAGAATGGTAACAATATAGAGCTAAAGAAATAATTGAGAAAACAAAGCAATCGAAAGCAGGGGCAAAGAAAAGGAACAATGCTAGTATTAGCAGGGTTCATGTCTGTCCGTCATGGATGGGTCATCCTTCTATGTGCTCTTTCTTGACCCTCAATTATTCCCTAGCTCACCAAAACCTACCAAGGCTGGAGCAAAACGAACCAAAAGAGCAAAATTGCAACAAATTTCAGGAGATTAACTAATCACAAAATGCACCTGGCGTGTTCTTTTCTTTGTAAGGTTTCTTTATTTCGCCAGGCACTTTATTTGAACAAAACAAATAGCTGCAGGCAGAGAGAAGGCTTGCAATCGTCTGTCTGTTTATCAAACGAACACCTCAAGTTGCTTCCACCTTATAATATACCCACACCAGAACTCCATCCCAACTTTGAGTTCCAATACCTAAGACGGCCAAAGCTATTTTTCTTTCCTTCCTCCAATGCATTTCAGTTCATTCATTATGGAGAAACAGCAGCAGCAGTGATGAGAGGGCAAAGTACCAGAACTTCGAAGCTCAAGCGAGTAGGCAATGAAATGTTGGTTGTTGTGTGCGACTCTTTCTCCTCCTCTACCAAGTCTTCTGCTTCACATCTTCCTCCTCCCAGCATTCATTCTCCCTCTCTCACTATAAGTCACTCAGTCCTGATCTTTCTACTTCTGCTGCTAAGCTGTTGCAGCAGAGTCTCCTCCTTCCTTGAGAGTACATAAAAATAAACAAACTTGAGAACTGCCAAAAAATCCTGCAATTCGCTTGCGCAATAACCTGCAACAACACCTAAGACAGGTCGACTGTGTTATTGGCGCCTGAAAGAAGGAAAAACCCCGATGAAAGAGTGACCAAGTTCAATAAATAATCCAGCAAATGTACCTATGGAAGAAGACCTAAGCGATTTAAAAGTTCCTTCCTACTTTGTAACTTCCCATTTCAGATCTGCAAATTCTTTCATGGATTTCTTCTCCTTCGGTTTTTTCTTGGTTTGTTCTTCTCTAGTATGAAGTCTTCACATTCTTCCTGGCGTCCCTCACTTGTGTATCTCATCGATCCCTTGAATACGAAAGAAGTAACCGATGATGGTAAGTAGTAAATCATTAAAGTTTTTCACTTTCACAAAACTATCTAACTCATGAACAACCTACCTTAACAAACGTTTGTTGCTGTAGTGAGTCAATCCAATCACACTTTCACCACATCGTCACACTGCGGCAAAATCTCGGTGATCTCAACACCTTTATCTCCTGCCACGGCGTTTTTTGCCTCGCGTTGGGAGAACTGTGTGATGAAGTAAATCTTCCCAATAGAAAGAACCTCTTTCAATTGATCCGACAGATGCTTGGAGGCAAGCCCCTGTACCAGCACCCCCTGGCAGAAGAAGAGGGAAGGGCAGAATCAGGAAGAGCAAGCACACGCGCGGACAAGCAGAAACCAAAAGTGGAGAGAACTCACCAATTCGTCCATCCAAAGTGTCGCGTATTCAGAGAACCCGTCGGGCCGGAAGAGTTCCCAGCCATCCATGTATGGAGGAGGCGCAATTTGAGAGCAGGACCTTCGCCTCAGGCATGCCAGCTTCGAGAAGACGATATGATTCATGGCGGCGAGTAGAAGAGGCAACAGCGGCTGAGCGGGTTAGCCGGAAGGCTGTGGCGGTGACGGGGAGAAAGAGGAAGCTAAAGAATAGAATGAGAGATGGAACCGAAGAGGACGATTTGGGCGAGAAGAAAGCAATCAATTTTCTCTGCACAAAGTGAAGGAAAGCAAGCGGCGCAGAAATTATGGGCGGTTGCGTGAGCGAGGCAGTGGGCAGGGGTTAAGGGAATGGGAAAATTGGGGATAGCAGAATGGAACGGCGAAGAGATAGACATGACCGAGCACTGACCGGTGAATGCTTGATTTTGGGGAAAAAGAGTAGGAAAGGTACGGCAACTGTAGCGCTGACTGTAGAGTATGGGCGGTGACTTTTGCTGGACTGAGGGGAAGGCCGAGGGGGATAGGATAGGAGTACGGCTACTCGAAGCGGGGTAAGAAAGTGCGTTCGAGGAGAGCTTCTACACTACTTGGGCGCTAGATGCCAAGAATTGAAACAGTGTTTAGATTCTTTGGGGTGAAAAAGCGTACTCCCCTTTCATGTTTTACAAGAATATCCGTTTATGAGGCTATTCAGGAGCTGCTGAATTACTACACTGGAGATTTCATGATATGCTTGCTGCCAAGCGTTGTTGGGACGTGGGATGGCTCTATTTCTTCGAACTTTGTAATTTTATTATGATCTAGTTAAAGAATATGCCTTGTTGGGCAGAATTATAGCGACTCGAGATGGGGAGGTCTTTTCACCTTAGAAATAGTCTGCTGCAAATTATTATGTACTGTATAAAAATGCGATTTAATGATTGGATTTCATTTTGAGAACTTTACTTCATTTCTTTCTATAGAGAATCACATGTTTCTGTGTTGAGGTGCTCTAGATTTTTGTTAACTGTCCATTTCTCAGCTACATAGTTTGATTATTTTTCGGTTGAAATGGTCAACTGTGTCTGTTCATATTCCATTCCCATTTCTTTTTCAGTGATTCATGAGATAGTTGTGACTTGTGAGAACGACTTCCTACCTATACTCTGAAGTCATCCTGTAAAGGCTACCAATTCTGCAAATGAAGACAATTGTATTGGTTTCCCCTCTTCAAGGAGGCAGGGCCAGCACTCTGCTGGAGAATGATTGTTATTATAAGTTTATATTAGGTAACAAGACTTTTGAGCCACTAATGTTTGTTCTTCTTTTCAACAGCTTGAGAAGATAATTGTCCGGTCAAGAGGAAACTTTGGCAGGAGGTTGAAGATGGATCATTTTCTGCTGAGTTTCTGGCTCCAGATGTTCTTCTGTGCAGTTCCAAAGCTCGTCATCTGCCAGCAGAGATACTCAGGCAACTTGGCTCTTGATTGTGATTCCAAGGATGCAGCTGTTCCCTACAGTTGCAATGGCGAAAAGCCCTCATGCAAGGCCTTTCTCATGTACAGATCTCAAACTCCTTACAACACCCTCTCCAGAATATCAAACCTGACATGTTCAGATTCCATCGAGCTCGGTCGCGTTAACAATGTCTCGGATCCCAAAAGAACCCCACCAATGGGCCAAGTGTTATTTTGATTCCTGTAACGTGCACTGGTTCATATGATCTGGAAAACTCTTCCTATAGACTTCAAGCGGAAGACACTTCAAGATTGCAAATGACACCTATGAAGGGCTTTCAGCTTGCAACGTGTTGATGCAAGAGAACAGAAAATTCAAGGATTCTGAATTAGAAGTTGGTAAGAGAATCCAAGTGTGATAGACGTTTTATTATTTGAGATTAATGTCGGTTTGAATTATTTAGTTTGGGATTAATTTGGTTATTGGGTAATAGTTGGGGAATTAATAAGTTGAAGTAGTTAGTCGGTAATTGTGTTTTAGGTATTTAAACTATTGTCTACGTAGGTAATGGTAAGCAAGAATAAACCTAATTCCTATTTGCTCTCCATCTTCCTCTCTTCCCTCTTGTGACTGCCGAACCCTCCCTCTCCCTTTTCCAAGCTGTCTATCGGCAGCAACCTATCTTCCTCCTTCTCATCTCGAATCCCCAAACTTCTTCTATCCTCAATCTCCCAATTTCCCGGATCAATCCCTAGTTGATCCCTAATCCCCAATTCTCCGATAGAGTTTAATCCGGAGCTCTATCATTTGGTATCAGAGCCCGGTTCTTGGGTTCGAATACAAACAGAGAACGACGAGTGCAATGGTGTCCATGAAATCGATGCAAGCAGCTGAGAAGGCCGCCAAAGCGGTGGCGCAAGAGCAAGCCTCGATCGCGGCGTCGACCGGGCTGCCGGAAGCTGGCGGCGGCGGCCATGGGACCTCCGACCCGTGGGACGGGGAGCTGGTGGACGAAACCGAGAAATTGGAGTTGATCCAGACCACATTGGATCGCCTGGTGGCCGAGTTCGAGGAAGAACGAGAGGAATGGCAGGCTGTCCGACGCGAACAAGGCGAGCAGCGGCGCGTACAGGAGGAGGAGTCCCGGAGAGTTTGGAAGAGGTTCGACGAGGTGCAGAGGATTGTGGAGGCACTGGCCGCCGCGCACGCCACAGGGCCGAGGAATAGCAGCGGTGGCGGTGAAGGGGGTGGTAACCGGAGCGGCCCGGGAGAATCGCCGGCGGCTGGGAACGCGGAGGCGAGCGCCACGGCGGCTGCAGGCGACGCGCGGAAGGGGGCGATGGTGGTGGCGGAAGCGCCGCCAGCAGCGGCGGCTGTCGTGCTGGCAGAGGCGGCGGAGGTGGTGACCTCGGGCGGTAGGGGCAACCTGCCCGGCGCCGGCGAGCGAGTGGGCCTTGGTCAGCAAGGGCGCAGCGGCGGACCTGGGCTATTACCGACGCCAACGGCCTAGGAGTTGGCGGCCCGCAAGGGAAAGGCCAAGATGCCAGGGTATGACAACGGGGCCCAACCGACTGGGTATGGGCCGACTAGGCCCATGGGCCGGGCTGATACTGTGGGCTCTTATTACGAGCCCAGAGGGCTGGGCTGGCTGAACATGGGCCCGGAGCAGACCGAGGAAGAGCTCAGCCTGGTGGGCCAGACTGCACCGTGGGCCGACCCGGCTGGAGCTGAAGATTATTTGGGCCCAGGACCGATAGGGGGCCGAGCCGCGCGGAGTGGACCAGTGCAGGAGGGCGGCTTGGGCCGAGGAGGCGGGTCAAACCGCCGAGTCGGGCAGGGGCCGACCGAACCAGGTGGGGGCGGAATCGGGCAGGGCGAACTAGGGCGAGTTGACCCGGGGCAACCCAGAAGTGGATCGAACCGGTTCGGGCAAGGGTTGGTCAGATCGGCCAGCATGGACCCAAATATGTGGCAAGGGTCGTATGGAGGGGGAAATGGAACGGGTCCGATGGGGAGAGGAGCCGCGGGCAGTTTTGGTCGAGGAAGAGGATCACCGCTCTACCAGAACCAGCTGGGTGATCCGGGTTTTGACAGGTATGGTTCATATCACCCTGCTTATGATGGAACTGATGGGATGGTCTTTAGGGCCAAGCCCCCGACCATTGAGTTTCCCAAATTCAACAGTCAGGAGGATGTCGGGTTGTGGTTGTATGCAGCAGAGCGGTGGTTCAGAAACCATCCCATACCGGAGGAGAGGAAGGCGCATCTGGCGTCCTTCTATTTAGAAGGGGAAGCTCTGCAGTGGTGGGAATGGATGGAGAGATCGTATGGGGCGGTGGGAACCTTGATCACATGGCCGCTGTTTCAGGAGGAGCTGCGTTACCAGTTCGGTAAATCTGAGGGGTGGGCGCCGGAACAGCTGGCCAAGCTTAAGCAGACTGGATCAGTAGCAGATTACCGTGCTGAGTTCTTCAAATTGGGCAACCAGTGCCATGGAGTTCCAGAAGAGACGTTGGTGGGGCTGTGTATGGCAGGCCTGAAGCCGGAGATTGCTGCTGCTGTCCGGGTCTTTGAACCGGACTCCTTGAAATCTGCTTTTCGTCTTGCAGGGTACAAGGAAGAGGAGCTTGCTAGTTGGAGGAGCACCCTAGGCCGCTACCCGAGGGCTAGTGGTGCCGGGAGCAGTGGTGGGGGCGGCAGTGGCGGAGGAGGAGTGGCCGGAGCCACGGCTGGAGCTGGGGGATCCGCGGCGGTGCAGGCGCCGGGAGCGGCGGCAAAGGGTGGGGCGCGACCGCCACCGAAGGGGTTTGTGCGACTATCTCCAGCAAGATCGAGCAAAAGAGGCGGGAAGGGAAGTGCTTTAACTGCGACGAGAGGTTCACGATCGGTCATAAGTGTGCACGTCCGGACTTGATGATGCTGGTCGGAAGGTGGGAGGACGAGGCGGAGGATGAGGCGAGGGAAGGGGAAGATGCAGGAGACGGCTATCAACCTTGAGGACAAGGTTGTTTTGAAGAGAGCGGGAATGATAGACGTTTTATTATTTGAGATTAATGTCGGTTTGAATTATTTAGTTTGGGATTAATATGGTTATTGGGGAATAGTTGGGGAATTAATAAGTTGGGGTAGTTAGTCGGTAATTGTGTCTTAGGTATTTAAACTATTGTCTACGTAGGTAATGGTAAGCAAGAATAAACCTAATTCCTATTTGCTCTACCTCTTCCTCTCTTCCCTCTTGTGACTGCGGAACCCTCCCTCTCCCTTTTCCAAGCTGCCTATCGGCAGCAACCTATCTTCCTCCTCCTTCTCATCTCAAATCCCCAAACTTCTTCTATCCTCAATCTCCCAATTTTCCGGATCAATCCCTAGTTGATCCCTAATCCCCAATTCCCCGATAGAGCTTAATCCGGAGCTCTATCAAAGTGCCCCTCAGATGTGCTTGTCCAACTAGAAACCGGACGATAAAGGGCACTAAGTTCCTGTTGACTGGAGAGTTGGAGTTGCTGGCATCAGCGAAAGAATTCAATGCTAGCATTCAGAGTTTCAACCATGCAAATGGGTTTGGAGAATTCAATGATCCGACCATTTATCCTTTTGGGTTTCATAACACTTCTCATTCCACTTGCAGTCTGAGCCTAATAGCTCACGGACCATAATCCACTGTCTACCACCTTCTGATGCTCCTTTAGTTGTTCCAGTTCAGCTATTCAAGGGTAGGAACTTAAGGAAATCGAGAGAACGAAATACTGGTTCGATTGTACTCGGAGTTTCCTCTACAGTCCCGTCTTTGATCCTAGCATGGGTAATCATCTCGCTGTTAAGAAAGAAGAAGCTGGTGTTGCCTGAAGATTTCTTTAATGGCAACTCCACTATTGACCAAGGGCTTAGAATCCACGAATTTGAGGAGCTAAAGTAGGCGACTGGTGATTTCAGTTCTCGGTCGAACAAACGAGTCTATGAGGGCATGATCAGTGGGCCAGAAGTACTATCAAGAAGACGAGTAGAAACGTTTCAAGCGAAGTGAATCTGCTGCGAAAAATCAACCATTTCTATCTCATAAGTCTTGCTGCTGCATACTAACACCAGGATGAATACTGCCTTCTTTACATATACATGGAGAACGACTCCTTGAAGGATTGGCTTCACAAAAGTGGCAGTAGTTTAGTAGATGAAGCTCAGAGTTGGAGTCCTAGGCTTCAGATTGCTTTGGATATTGCTAATGGACTTAGCTTATTGGGACCAACTGGTATATGACATGGTATCAGAGCCTAGAACCGAAATGTCATGTGTTCGAATCTCCACGACCCCCAATATTAACAGTTTATTAAAGCACAGGGTATGGTGGGTCTGTGCAAACTTCAAGCCCGTGAGTTGGCTTTCGTTTGAGGGGACGTGTTAGAGTGTGGTATAAGATTCATCATAACCTTTTCCCAACAACTCGAGTTATTGGGACCAACTGGTATATGACAAACTTCACTGAAACACCGTGTGTCCATAAAGATACCAGCAGCAGTAATATTCTGTTGGATGCTGATTTGAGGGCTAAGATTGCTAACTTCAGTCTTGCAAGGTCAGCTGAGGTAGCATTGTAAGTAAGTTCTTCAATTAGGGTTGCTAAGGTACAAAAGGTTACCTGGCACCCGAGTAAGTAGGGTATGGTTTGGTAATTCCTTAGATCGACGTGTATGCATTTGGTGCCGGTTTACTTGAACTAATCACTAGAAAAGAAATGGTTTTTCTGAGGAGGGGGAAATGCTGATTTTGGAGGCAATTGCTACGATCTTAGGTGGAGAAGTTTCAGAATCGCACCTTTGTTAGTCTGCAGATCCTCGTCTGCATCCAAACAGCAGATGGAAATTATGCTGAGAATGACGAAGTTGATTCTAGCCTGAATTGGCTAAAGAACTTGAAGATAGACCTAGATGGGAGAGATGTCTCTTTTCTTTCTATGATACAATCATACAATTTGATGTGTATAGATCTGAATTCATGTAACTTAGTAGTTCATAGTTTTCAGTTTAAGAAACCTGGTCCATCATTTCTTAGATTCAATCAGGAACAGAGCTTTTCTTATATTTTCACTTCACAATTTTGAAAGAAGCAAGAACATTTGTAATTTCAAAGCCCAAGAGAGGCACACTGTAAAAATTAACATTGCAGTACGTTTTTTTCAAGGGAAATCATATCCAGCAGAACTTATATACAGCGGTTAACGAGCAGTAACTGGACTGATGATCTGCAAAAGTTCTTCTGCATCGAGCTTAGTAGGCCACACCTCTTCCAGAGAATCATCTAGAGGCGACTGTGTCAGCACTGTGAGGTTAAACACGACCTCTCCCATGCTTGGCCTAGCAGAAGATTTCTCAAAAGTGCAGGCCCTTGCCAAAATCGCCAGGCTCAGAGCACCATCGATGGGATACATGTTCTCCAAGTTAGGATCCATCCAGTTCTTCAAACTGTCCTCCCTTTTCTCAGCAACTTCCAACACAGTCTTGATTTCTTTAGACAACAACACAATCTCGCCGCTCTCTTTCGTTACCATCGCCTTCTTCCCTGAAAGCAGCTCCAGCAAAACCACCCCGAATGCAAAGACATCGACTTTCGGTGCTATGGACTCTTCTGCAAATCTCGCCAAAGAGAAATTCGTCACCTTTGCCCTGAATTTTGAGTCCAGCAATATGTTGCTGCTCCTGATATCACGATGCGCGATGCTCGGTTGAACATGTTCGTGCAAGTAATGCAAGCCATTCGCCACGTCTAATGCTATCTGCACCCTTCTGCTCCAACTAAGGAACGATATAGATCCTGAAGATGATGACGATGAGGGTGGTGCAGATTTTCTGAACAGCCACTTGTCCAGCGAACCATTCTCTGCATATTCATAGACCAACAAGAAGTTTCCTTCTTGATCGCATGAAACCCCCATCAGCTTCACCAGATTAGCATGGTTGACTTTCTGCAGAATCTGCAGCTCTACAGTTGCTTCCCCTTCAAACTTCTTCACAGCTAACACCTGGCCATCAATGGTGGCTCTATAAACTGAACCTCCAATCTTGTAATAGTCATGAAGATCCATTGTAACTTCCAAGATCGTATTAACGTCGTAAATGGTTTGCTTGTTTAGATACCCTGAAACTCCTGGAAGGTAATCAACCTTCTTCTGCTTAAGTTTCTTGGCTTGTCGCATCATCAGCTCATCAGTTTCTAGATTCGAGTTCTTGCGCACCAGGAGGAACCTCTTGTTGCTGCTGCGTCGACAACCAAAGACAAACCCTAGATAGAGGATCAGAAGAGTGGAAATAGTGGTTGCAACTATAACTATGATCCAATGTAGCTTTGATTCCCTTGTTTTCGGTGAAGATGGATTCATCGACTTGAGAACAGGTAAGCTAGTGACTGGGACCAGAACTGGATGGTTGATTGCTTCACTGAAGTTCATGTACTTGTTTGCCAGCAGAATCTCGTTGACTGATGAATCGAGCTTCTCAGCAACAGACTGGAGAGTATCATCTATCCGCAAGACATAAGTGATGAGAAACTCGATTCCGTTGTCGATCTGCATCCTGGAAGGGCACTGACAGAGTAGAGGGAATGTGACTAGGTCACCAGGATGGAGAAGGGTCGGAGTCACACCAGGGTTTAATGCTTCAACGAGTTGCCAGTTGGTGAGATTCTCCAGTGGCGTGACGGAGACCGAGTAGAAATTGTCGCCTCCTTTGATTTGGTAAGTGAGATTGGCGAAGGAATTGTTACCTGTGCATCCACACTCTACAGGGATAAGCAGGAGCTGGTCCGGAACTAATGTTGAATCCTCGAAGGGCAAGTTGCTGGCAGTTGCTATTGACAGGCGGCTGACACCAAAGAGATCAGAAATACTACCAAGGTTTAGAAAGTTTGGTGACTGGACATGGTAAGATAGATATGTCTTGCAAGGGTGAGTACTAGGTTCCCCAGAATGAGAGCAGGAGAAGTCGGTGGCTGCCTGTGATACGACGATAGTCGCAGTGGAACAACCTAGGAGCAGAAGAACCACGATCAGTTGTGAGATTGCCGCCATGGTTGAAGGTTTGGAAGTTGTGTTCAACCCCATTTGGGCTTAAATGAGTTGTTACCAAATTCGAGCTGCTTGCCGTCATTATCGTGTGTTGTTGCTTTCTGTCCCCACAATAAACTAGACATTTCCTGAAATCTATATTTTAAGAACAGCAGAATTTGAGTTCCGCAGCTGATGGCTGCCTTGACAATGACCTCCAGAGAGCACAGTATCATGATCAAAACTGGGCAGCATATTCCTTTTTGCCGGCTGTCGTCTGGAAAAAAGAATTCCAAATCCTTGTCAACATAGCGTAAACAACAACAATATTGCATCAAAACACCGCTAGGACGGCAGGGCGTTAACCTTCTTCCTGTTTCATATTGCCTTGTACGAAGGGGGAATAATACTCATCCTGAGCTACTAATTTAATGAGAGGCCAACTAAGTTTACATCAACTTGTAAAGCAAGGTAGAATTTAAAATTTTGAAGCAAAGCGCAGAATTGTGAGACTTTATGGATGATGCAAAATCTATCTACTGCAGCACGAAACATATAAGATATTCAGGTTTTGGAACGGGGAAAAAAATATCAAAATATGTCATCTCTAAGTTTGTAACAACCAAAATGATGTTTCATAGTCATATCTATCTCAAAGCCTAGTTCTTTATTCTACCATCTCTAAAAAGTTCTGCATCTTGTAATTTGTAAAGATTTTAACGTTCACTCTTCCCGTCAAACCCAAGGTAGAGAACTATAAACGTGGAAAAAATCATGATCTTCAATCATGATCTTTACCCGTATTCTTAACATGGTAGAAACATATGAAAGAGTAGATTCTATCCCGATGGTCCATTGATTCCACAAACTAAAACATAAGGTTATATGAGAAATTGGGTTTGCATAGAAGCAGACTATATTTGAGTGAGTAAATTCATAAAATCACAAGCTTTTTAGAGTTGGTCAAGACAACATGTATCAGGACTAGTAAGTTCCTTGAAAGGGAAAACCTGAAATCATGAGTGACTGATCACATGGTTATCCACAGGAAAGATGTCTGATATGCTGCGGTGCTGGATGTTGCAAAGTATTACAGCTGGTTGGCTATGAAGTTTTCCAAAAAGACAACCGAAATCAGCCAAATGATGATTAATTAAATCGCTGAAGGGTTATCAAGGTTGATGACAAGCCACCCTATCATTTGATCACCGGTCTTTCACACGTTCTTCTAACTGCAAGATGGAGACAGACAGGGAGTGTGAGAAAAAGACAGTAACTGTGATATCTACATGATTTGGTGCAGGAAGTCCGGCACCTTGCCTTCACCTTCACATCTTATTATCGTTGTTCATAAACTCTAGTGAGATCAGCAGCGCTCACTGTCCATAAATGTCCTCTCAACACAAGTGGGAGGACTAGGCTAATTTTTTCACAGCTTTACACAACACTAGCTGCCTCTTTTCTTTTTCCTTTCTTCCAAAGACTCTTCACCAGTAAATCCTTAGTAGCCAAATCAGGCATCAGATTCGAGTTCATCAAGTCTGCAAAAACTCTAAACCAAGAGCAGCCCTCTCACGTTTGCAATAAGCTTGGATCAGTACTTAGTACATTTAACCATCTATAGCAACACCATTTTGTCTCACAGTCATAAACAGTTTACACACTGTCTTGACATCTCCTTGTAACCCGAAATGGTACATCAACGCAGAAATAGTTTGACTATCAGGGCATATCCCACAACTGAGCATCTCTCTCTTGCAATTGGTCAGAGTTCGCAAGAGGGCTGAATACAGAATCATCAAGTTGAATTCGTGTATGTAACCACAAAGTAATCTATCCTCACGGAAGATCTTTAAAGCAACATCCAGATACTTTGAAACTTAGAATGTGATATAAGATCCAGCAGAACCTTCTCCCAACAACTCGAGTTATTAGGGATCAACTGGTTCTTGACATGGTATCAGAGCCTCGAACCAAAAGGTCATGTGTTCGAATCTCCACGACCCCCAATATTAACCGTTGTCTTTCAAGCACATGGTATGGTGGGCCTGTGCAAATTTCAAGCCCATGGGTTGGCTTTCGTTTGAGGGGAGTGTTATGTGATATAAGATCCAGCAGAACCTTCTCCCAACAACTCGAGTTATTGGGGATCAACTGGTTCTTGACAGAAACTCCATAGAACTCGATTATCAACCTGATGTTACTAAGCGGCAATTCCATCCCTTCATTTCTTATCTTTGCTATGAGCTGATCAACCAGCTCAACCTTCCCATGCCGGAATAATACTGTTATCATTCGCTGTACTGTGTAAACATCGTGAGTGAATCCTGACTGATAAGCAGCCCAACAGAAGAAATCCCAAGCTGTTTCAGGAGATTTCAAGTTTCTGAGGATCTTACAAACCAAACGAGTAGTCCAGACGAATTTTGCATCTTCCAAAGTTGACACAACTTCAGGGCTCCATTTACTCAAAGCATCTGCTAAAGCTTTTGGATCTAACCATGGTTTCAACTTGATAACTTCATCTTCATTCTCATCACTGTCCTCATCAGATTTATCCTCGCAAGAAACAATGCTTTTGATCCGTTCATCAGGGAGCATTCCTTCTCGGAGCTGAACTGTTTCATCCACAAATCCCGCCTCTCTTAACTCCTGCAAAGCCATCAACATTGCACGGCTAGGGTACTTGCCATCAGCTTTCAATGCCTAAAACAGAGCTTTCACCTCATCAAACCTCTTACTTTTCACAAACCCATCAACCAAAACCAAGTACTGCTTCGAAGTCCGCTTGACCCTCCTGGGCAACAAATCGAAAACCTCCATTGCTGAATCCGATTTCCTGGAGATGCTCCATCATGACAGTATAAGTTCTAGAATTTGGAATACCACCTTCATCAATCAGCTTGTAGAACATATTCACTACCCCCAAATCATTCCATTCCCGCGCGTAAATGCTCATGACAATGTTGTAAGCCTCGCTGCAAAGACGATCCTTCTTACCGTATTTCTCTCTGCAGTTGTTCCACGTCGCGAGAACTGCCTCCATATCCCCAACGGCGGAGTACCAGTACAAGAGGTTCATGAAGCTAAAACCGATCTCGCCGCTAATGGCGTTGTCTTCGATGAGTGGATCTCAGTTCGCGGGTTCTGCCCCATTTGGTTAGAACCGTAGCTAATACGTAGAGGGTAGCTCGATTGTGATGGAAGTTAAGGACGGCGTCTTTGAGGGCTTCGACGAGGGAAAGCGCAGAGTCGGCATTTGGCGCAGAACGGATAGCGTGGGTGACCACGAATGGGTCCAGCAGCCGGGTTGTTCAGTAGCTCGAGGGGGAGCGAGGTCGGTGTCCTCGATGAACGGAGGTTGAGTCGAATGGAATCGATCAAGTCGGCTCGACGAATATAATGGGTGAGCTTGTTGGAGAAAGGGTCCCGGACAAAGAATCGAACCTGCTGTCTAGGGATGTGGAGTTGAGTTATTGTTCGCGGGAAGCGAATGCGACTCATTGCTGCAAGCGTAGGGGAATTTCGGCCGTAGATGGTTCAGTTAGCTGTCCCTGACAAATCGTCGAGCACCTGGTGGGCGGTCCTAAATCTGTACTGAAATTCCCACCGGAAGCCCGAGACGAGACCCTTTCGAATTGATTTGTCTGGTTGGTTGATTAGGGGTAGACGGGCTCCGTTTATGTTGTCGGGCCTAACTAAAACAAGTTGCCGCTGGTGGTATTGACTCGGGCTTCACGAGTACTACCCCTTTCTATAATTCGACAAAATTATGGGCCAAAAGTCCAAAACTGCGTGGCCCAAGCCGAAGCCCTCGTCATTTTTGAGTTTCCTTGTTGATGTATTAAACGTACACGGACAATTTGCATTGGTAGTAGACTAATAGTACAGTACGAAAAACACTATACCCTCGCTATTTATTTTTTTCCTGTTTTTAATTGCTCCTCCTAGCTCGTCCACGGTCGGCTCGTTGCACTTCTTGGGCATGCAATATGCACTTCTACTGTGCTATATAGTATTGGTGCTTTAATGTACAACTTGAAGTTGTACCATAACATTAAATGTATAAGTTTAGGTTGTACCATAAAAGAATTTGTATCATTATGTTATGGTACAACTTTACAACTTGAAATTGTACCTTCACATAAGGTACAAGTTTAAGTTGTACCATAAAAGAATTTATACAAAAAGTATAGGTACAATCTGCAGTTGTACCATAACATTAAAGGTACAATTTCAAATTGTACCATAAAGGTAAAAACCTATAGCACCAATGTTATATAGCATTGTAAAATTCCTCCATGCAATATAGGTGGCGGAGCCAGTTTGGTAGTGGGTGGGTCCTGAACCCACCTTGGTTCGGAGTTAGGACCCAAAATTAATTAAATTTATATACAATCCATAATATGTTAAATCCAATATAGTTTTATTTGTCTGTCAACATATTGTAGAAAACTATGTGACAACCATTAATTATGTATATTCTGTAAATAACTCTGGTGGTTGTTTGTATTATAATTGTTTATTTTGAGTTTACGAATGCATAATTTAGAATTGAATTCTCTATACTGAAACGGAAATCAGTCTAAAAACTAAAAAAAACATGTCGTGGATTATTTAAATATTAATAAAATTTATTTTAGATATTTTTTTTTTTTTACGTTGGACGCACCTTGAGTGAGATTCTGGCTACACCTTCATGATTTCTGCCAGCGCTGCCATGCTCTGACCGCGTCGATTATCAATTACTATTCTAGATGATTCAAAGTCAAAATCGGAGCAGGACAGATTATGCATAGCCGCCCTTCTCCCCTCTCCCTCTCGCCCCTCTCTCTCACTAACCGACGATGAGGAGCCGACAACCTTTGAGCGGTTTTCATATTTGGATTTTTTATTTTGGTACTGATTCATCGTTTTGTTTTATGAAATGATATAGTTTTGTTTTTCATAATGATATTGATTTATTTATGTAATGGTATTGTTTGGATTTCACAATAGTAGTGGCATTGGTTGATTTTTGTATTTGTTTGACTCTTGTAATGATATAGATTGTTTATATTGGTAGTTTTATTGTAATTGTATTATTTTTCCATAATGGTATTGATTTACTTGTGCAATGGTATTGCTGTTTTTCAAAGTGATAGTGGTTGACTAATGGATTGATATTGGTTTATTGTTTTATATTTGCAGTGGTATTATTTCGATTAAACAGAGACAAAAAAAATTGAGAAATAGGAGAAAGAGATATATGGCTGGAGATTGTGGAAGTGAGAAAAAGAGAAAGTATAATTGTAATTAATATTTTTATATGCTATTTATTTGAAGAAATAATTAATAAATTTTTTGTCATACCCCATTTGAGCTTAGTAACCATGGTGATTACTAACTTACTATTTCATAGTAATCACCATACCAGCTCCCCTTTGGATTGGGTAATTGGATGAGTTGTTTTGGAACAAATAACTCATTGAGTTATTTGGCCCAAATAACTGATTTGACAGTCGAAAGAGCTTATAAGTTATTTGGGTTGAGTTATTTCGAAATAATGCGAAAACGTGTTAACCAAAATAAAGGGTTATTTTGAGTGATGATACTTTAACAATTTCTCATCTACATCAGTGTGATAGTAGGGAAGAACAAAATAAATTGTAACTCGACCCAAACTACTTGCTCTCTTGGTTTTGGTGTGGGTTTTAGATTATACAACCTGTAGAATTTTGAGTCAACTCATATTACAACTATTGTTCTAACTGTTCGTACCTAAAACGTTTTTATATTGTATACAATCATATTTGTGAGAAAATTAGGATATTTGTCATATTAGACATATTTAATGTAGGCTATGATCCATGTTTTTTTTTTCTCTATACAATTTTAGAAGAATAGAATAGTATGAATGTGCTAGCTTATAATGAATAACATTTCTAGCTTATTTCTGTAAATATTTATGAAAAATACTAGACATATGTTGACGAACATTGTACTTCTTCAATATCTAAACAACAATTTCTATGCATTTTAATAATTTTTGTTTTGGTTTATTTTCTTAAAATTTTAATTAGTTATACAATTTTTTTAATTGTTGGTTTGTATTTTTACTTAAATGTATAGTCCACTCGACCAGACCCAATAACAAAAAAACTGTAGAGTTCTATTTTTTGTGGTTTTGGATTTAATATTCACAAAATCAAAGTATATGGATCAAATGATTAAAATGGATAAATTGGAATGACTTGTTTACCACCCTATGTGAAAGCATATGAAAATTGGGAAGGGAAATGTAAAAATATTATATTAATACATAATGATTAAGCCATCAGTCTACACTCCTGCTTATGCAGGAAAGAGGCGATTCTTTCTCGAGCATGCAACCTTATCGCCCCTCAGCACGTTGGAGCGTGTGTAAAGATGGTTCCAATAGATTTTGGCTTTATCTGTTGGGTTGTGTGCCAAATTTATCCTACAAATATGGCGTTTTTTCATTTTGATACCTCGCTTAAGGGATTTTTTTGGCATTTTGACATGTCATTGAAGATAGTCTTAGGATCAGGAGTCTCCATCCTTGCAATAGCCGAGAACATGTCATTAGAAAGCATTAGCTTGAGTTTTCCCCGGTCTCACCCACCTTCCTCTGTAATCCAGTCTGCAACCACAAAATCTCTATCCTCCTCATTGATGTCCACTAGAGCAAAATCCTTCAGGTTGATACCACTGTTAATCCAGGGTTGGGTCCAGAACTTTCTTGACTAGCCAATCATGATGCTCCAGCAAGTAGCATGTTTCATAATGTTCATTCCTTTAACAATGGTCTTCCATAAGTTGGAGTGGTTACTCTTCTTCATGGATAGGATGTTCTCATTGTGTTGCTTGAAATATTTGCCCTATAACACTTGAACCCACAGATCAGTGTCCTTGTTAAGCATACTCCATCCAAGATTAATCATATAAGTCATATTCATATGTGTAGCATATTTTAAACCCAGACCACCTAGTTCCTTAGGTTTACAGATATTATCCCATGAAAAAAGGTAAGTCTTCCTCTTCCCATCACTAGACCCCCAAACAAAACCCCTGATTTTCCAATCAATGGTGTCACATAAAGGAGGGAAGTGGTTTGTATAGTATAGGTGGGTAGGGCATTGAGCACAGATGTGGCAAGGGTAACCCTACTAGCTAAATATAGGGTTCTGGCTTTCCAGTTGGTATTTTTTGGTCTATCCTATCAATGATATACTTATAAGTAGCTTTGGTGATCCGGCCATTGAACACAGGAACACCAAGGTATCTCCCCGGATCCAGAGTGGCTTGAATCCCAAGTCTCTTACAAATTTCAGTTTTGTTCTTCTTCTTAAAGTTTTTGGGAAAAAATACGTTGGATTCTTCCTTACTAACAGCTTCACCTGAGACTTCACAAAAACAGTCAAGGCATTTTAGAACAATATCATCCTGTTGAGGATTAGCTTCAATAAAGAACCCTAGGTCATCAACAAAATCAGGTGGGATAGAGCATGCCCCCCACCCCCCACACATGGTGACAACCTAATAGGGTTCCAGTTACCATTCCCAACTTCATAATCAATGTAGTGACTTAATCTTTCAACACATAGAGTAAATAGATAAAGAGAGAGGGGACATCCCTGTCTAAGTCCTCTGGTTGGCCTGAAAGTCCCAGTTTCTCCTCCATTTCATAAGACTTGATAGCTTGTAGAGGTCACACATTCCATTATCAGTTTGATGATGCTTTCAGGTAGCCTAGCACCCTTAAGTGTTTCTTCAAGAAATTCCTCTAGCTAGCAAGATCCACCTTCAGGATCGTGAAGCCCTTCCTGCAACTTTTCCTTGCCATGGAGTGGATGGTTTCCTGAAAAATAATAATATTATCAGTGATGTGTCGATTAGGGATGAAACTGGAATGGTTTTTATTCACAGGATAAGACATCAATGGTTTCAATTTGTTAGCAATCAGTTTTGCCACCACTTTATAGTCATCATTACACAGGCTAATAGGTATGAACTAACTCATTGAGGAGGGGTTTTCCACTTTGGGAATCAAGGTGAGGAGAATCTCATTGATGAATTAGATTTTTTTAGGATTCCTAAAGCAAGATAAGATAAACACACAGAAATCTCTACCCACAGAGTTCCAACATTTCTTGTAGAAAATGGCTTGGAAGCCATCTTTACCTAGGGCCTTAAGGCCATTCATGTACATAACAATATTTCTGATATCCTCATGACTAGGGAAGGATGCCATATTAGACATAAGACAACTATCCAAAACATGGAAATTAGCTGGAATAATATGCCTAGAAACCAAAATGTTCTTAGTAAATAGTTGGAGAAAAATCTCCCTGACCATGAAGAGGAGTGTGTAGCATCTGCAATCCTTTGGCCCTAATCATCACTAAGGTAGTTGATCTTATTCCTCTTCCTTATACTGAGAGTGTTGATATGAAAGTAGCGTGTATTCAGATCACCGTACACCACCCAGTTAGTTCTGGATTTTTGGATACACAATATCTCTTTTTACCAAAGAGTCTGCTCCAGTTCTTCCTGGGTTTTTTATTCCTTGTCAATCGACCTTGTCGTTGAACTTATTTCATTGATCATCTCCATTGACTTGAGCTCATACAACAATTTCTTCTTTCTTTGAAAGATGTTGCCATAAACTTCCTTGTTCCATTTTTGGAGGTCTTCCAAGAACTGTTGCACAGACAGAGGAAAGTACCCTAGGGAAGAAGACAAAAATTAAGGGAAGTCATCGTGAGCGAATCAGGAGGCAATAAAATGAATCTCAATAATTTTTGTTTCACAACCTAGTTTGAAGTGCATGTCAGAATGGGATGATGGTCAGATTTAATCTTTGGCAGGTGGAAAGTGGTGGTTGTGGGGAACTTGTGCTGCCATTCCAGATTGCATAAACTATCATCAGGCCTTTCTTTGATTCCAGAGGTTCTAGTGAATCAAGTGAACCTGTGATCCGAGAACCTAAGGTCAATCAATCCATAGTCCTCAATGCTTGTCACAGGCTCTGGCGATGGAGTTGAAATCGCCTGTCAGGATACATGGAAGGTGGGTGGCCTTGTCAATACTTTTGATCGAATCTCATAGTTATACTCTATCATGCTTATTTGGACTTCCATACACAACAATGTTATGGAATCTTTCTTTCTGAGCAAAGTAGCATTTGAGGTTTAGAAAATGTTTATGAGTGTTGATGGCTTCTAACTTCATATCAAATTCGTTCCAATGGACCCAGATGCCAGATGCCTCCACTGAAACCAGTAGCATCAGAAATTGCTGATGAGTCAAATCCTAGTGTCTTGATAACCGAAGCAGTACCATCCTCACTAATTCTGGCTCCAGAATTCACATTATTTCAGGCTTTAGGTAGCCTTATACAACATAAAAGTAGAAAGAAACTTGTGGTGCTTGACACCACTACAATCCCATGAGAAGATTTTTAACCATAGCTAGATTGGTTATATTCTTTCCTGGAGGACTCGAGAGCCCAAAAATCGACAACGTTTGATAGCCATGCTCGTCTCACAATCCCTGTGGCTTCTTTTGTAGAATTAGCTTTAGGGTGCTGAGCATCTTCCTGCACAGACTTCACATTCACATGGTATGAGGAAAATTTGATTTTTCTTCCTTTGACGCTTCCTTTTTCTGGTGTGGGGTGCACATCCTTCCCCTGAACTTTGGCAGCATATGAAGTTGATGGCGTCTTCATCTTAGATAGATGTCCTGATTTGGCTTCTTTACTCGACCCCTTCTCATTTCCTAGCATTGTGTGGCTTGTAGCTGATTTCGTAACGCTTTTCGCTTTGTTCTGGACAGTAGCTTGTGGGAGGGGTGATGTGACTTTGGTTTGTTTTTTATTCATTTCTTTCTGAGATTCGCTGGATTGCTCGTCCATTTTAGCCGAGGTGGAGCTCTTGTTCTTCTGTTAGGTGGTTTCTGCTGAAATTTTCTGACGAAGGAGGGTCGATTCAGCCTGAATTCGCTATACAGGCTCGTAGCTGAGAATGATGACAGGGAACCTGAAAGATGCTGGAAAGACCTATGGAAATGGAATGGGCCAAAAAGAGTCAAGCATTTTCTGTGGCTTGTCTTGCACGACAGGATTCTGACTAACAAGGAAGGGACAAGAAGAAAGATTGCAACAAACAAAAGAAGAAACTATGGACCATATTGTTAGAAACTGTAGCAAAGCAAGAAGTGTATGAGCGAAGTTCCATAATAAAATTGTGGCCAACAACATGAACTTCCCTCTGCACGAGTGTCTGATTTCTAATCTCAGACATGAGAAAACGACTACTGATTTTCGCATTATTGTATGGCATCTATGGAAACAAAGGAATGAGGAGGCGATGGAGGGAAAAACGTTCTCAAAGAATGGATTGATTGGAAGAATCCAAGCATGGTTTAGCATGGTTGGGCAGGCTCACACAAACGTCCGGAAACAACTACTGCTAGTGCAGTAACAGGCCAAAGCAGGCTTATTGGTTGGGATCTACCTAGAGAAAGGATGGATCCCGCTACAATCATATGGATACGTCCTCGCCCCTACCAGAAAGGCTGCAACATGAGGTTTATTCAAGGATCACTTGGGAAGAAGTAAAGGAGCCTTTGTCTGCAACCTCGGCTCCTGCTCATCAATCACTGCGGCTGAATTGAAATGAGCTCTAGAAGGCCTAAAGATCACCTGGAAAGAAGGCTACCAGAGAATCCAGCTCAAGCTTGACTCAATGACGACCATTGAGATCTTCAAACAGCGCCGTAGAACAATCACCGTTGTAGTAGTTTGGCAAAATAGTTTTTTTTTATTTGAATCTTAATTGGGAAGTAAGTGTTTCCCATGTATTTAGGGAATCTAATTTTGCGGCCAATTACTTGACAAGCAAGGGTCATGACTTTTATTCAGTATCCGTAAAACCGTACCATACCGGCGGTTCAACCACAAAATACCAGTATTGGAGGCTAAACCGGTAGGCGGTATTTAACGGTATAACGGTTGAACTACGATTAAACCACGGTTTATCATAAAATATCCTACCGCTGACTTTTCTGGTACAGTTTCATGGACCATGCTTTTATTTTGGCACACTTCCCTTCAATGTGTACCATAGAGACCTTGTTCAATGGCTTCGCCAATCGCCATGATGTTCTGGGAATCTTCCTTGATCATTATTTACGTAATGTGCTCTAGACGTAATGCGAATCTTTCAACAAAAAAATAAAAAGAATATAGTCTTAGCATGTTCCCTTCTCATGTAGAAATTTTGCCTATGTTTGGCCCGGCTTTTAGAAGTGCTTTTCGGCTTCAAAAGCTGAAGCAGGGCCAAACACCTCTAAAAACTCGGCTTTTGAAAAGCTGAAAAGCGCTTTTGTATAACATAAAAGCAGAAGTTCCGATTTGGAGCTTCTGCGAAAAGCTGTTTTGAAAATACAAGATTATCCTTACCAAATTTTAATTTTATTTCAGAAAATGTAATTTTCTTTCATTTATATCATTTTAAAAATAAAATAAATTATGAAATCATATTATTTAATATAAAAGAAATTTAACAAGATCCATTTTGACTATATTTTATTGTTCATAATTATTATTCATAGTTTATATTATAAGTCCTTTATAGTCATTTTACATAACCTCTCATATTAAAAAGCACTTTTAATAGTTTTTCAGCCAAACGCTCAACTGCTTTTTTTGAAAAGTACTTCTCTAAAAGCTCAAGCCAGAAGCTGCTTCTGCGAAAGCTACAGCAGGACCAAACTGAGCTTTTATTAGATAAGAAAAAACCAGAGACGTAACGCTTTGAGTTGTGCCGTTTCTTACCATGTTTTGTTTGTGCATTGTTTTAGCTTCTATAAATATCTCTGTAGGGTTATTATATTGAATGGTTTGTTTGTTTTTTATAGGAAAGTGGTGTGCTTATTTTAATTTTTCTAATTTGCTATAACTTTCCAGGTTCTAATTGTAGATGTTAGGGTTATTATATTGAATGGTTTGTTTGTTTTTTATAGGAAAGTGGTGTGCTTATTTTAATTTTTCTAATTTGCTATAACTTTCCAGGTTCTAATTGTAGATGTTGTTTGGATCTCATATTCTTATTTAATATCTTTGCATATCTTCCTTTTTGTGTAGTTTGTTTACTTGATGTTTATGCGGCTGCATATGCCTTCTAGAATTCCAATTTGGTCTGCTTTTTATTTCCTTACTTAGAGTGGAGTGCTCAGAGCTAAGCAAAGTATAGCATTTTTATGAAGGCAAAATACACTTGTATAGCCAAAACTTTCGAGGTTTTGCCAATAATAGCCCATTTTGGAGAAATACCACTTATAGGCACATTTTTAAAACTTGTTTGACAAATTTAGTCATTTCCGTCAAATACTTTAACAACATTAACAATTCCGTCAGTTAAATAGACGTTAAGCTAATGTCACTGCCACCTAGACGACACATAGCCGCCACATCACATTTTAAAATTAAAAAATATATATTTTTTGTATGTTAAATCTCATTTAATCTCCCTTCTTCTTAGGACAAGAATCCGGCTACTTTCGGCGTTCTCTGCTTCATCGTCGATTCCTCACCCCTGCCAAAAACAAAATCAGAGGTCGAAGTAGATACAATCCTCGCCTCTGAATCGGGCTGCTGGTAGATTCATCACTCCAAATCCATCTTCTTCTTCTCCAAAAATCAATCACACCAACACCCACCAATATCCCTGACTTGTAAAAATCCACTGTGAGGGCAAAAAACAAATTTCAGCATTCTTCTTTCCTGCACAAACGTTGGTATAGATGATAGATCTGGAAAAAAATCTGAAAGAAAAAGACTACAATCTCCGCCTTCTTCTTTCCTGCACAAACACCACCTTCTTCTTCGCGATTGATTTGAGGAAATCGTCATCGTCGTTTCTTTTTTCACCACTTAAGTCTCCCATCGACCGGCGGCGGGTAAACCCTACTTTGCGCTCTTGAATTGAGCAAATCGTCGTTGCCAGCGCCAGAAGCGTCAGGATTGAATTCCTCAATGCTGCTGGCAAAATAATGGATCGATTGTTGGAACAGAGTACCGATTTGCTTGTCCAAGTGAGAGTCTTGACCAGATCTGGGTTGTTGATTCTCCAGGCTCGAAATCTCTGGCTACGGTAATGAGATATGGGGATTTGATTCTCCACTTCCGCTAAAGGGTACGCATCATCGGATATGCTTGTGAATTCCCATGGGATTAGGAATGGTGGCAGGTTGAATATTGCTGCTGTGGTTGAGTCTCCGATGGTGGGGAAGATGGATTCGCCTGTCCCTCTTCTTCCCTACTTCCAGCTTCTACGATTGGATCGACGCGTCCTTGAGGAGCTCGCCGCCATCTTTATTGAATAGCCTCTGTCTCGCGACCGGGACGATGAAGTTCTCATCGAAGAGGAGGGCATTGTGGCTGGGCAATCTCGAGAGCGAAGAGGGAAGCGGCGTCGTGGCCACGGTGGGGGAATCGGGTGCGGTGGTGGTTTGGATCGGAAAATTAGGGATGCGTTGCTGAAGAGAGAGAAGGGGGAAGTGAAAATAGGGATGTCAATGGGGCGGGTTTGGGGCGGGTTTGCCTAAACCATCCACATACCCATCTTCAAATATCCAAACCCATACCCGCCCCATACCCATGCGGGGAATGTTTTGCAAACCCATCCCCATACCCGTGGGTTTCGGGTACCCATGGGTAATACCCATACCCGTACATCCAACATTATTATACCTAAAATTTACAAAAAAAAGTTTTAATTATAACTAAACGAACATATTATATCATGAAGCTAACAAAACACGGTCATTTTTTAATATGGTTCAAAGAATATGATCCTAAAATATCCATTAATACATAATATAGAGTTTAATATCTTTCAAATTATTATGTTCTAACTCTGATACATCTACTAAATAATAATTAACTAACATTATCTTGTTGACAAGGGGGAAAGTGAAAGAGTGAAATGAGAATTGAGAGAAATGAATTAGATTTTGATTAAGGTGGTCACTCAATTGCATTTCTATTATTTATTTTCTCAAGTTATACTCATCATCATTGATAAATTATAATTTGATGCACATATTTTTTATATATGAAAAAATTATCTTGGTGGGGTGGGTATGGGGATGGGTATGGGGCGGGGGAGGCTAAAACCATACCCGCCCCATACCCATCAAACTTTTTGCGGGTTTTACCCATACCCGCCCCATACCCGGTCAAAGCGGGGATTCCCCGCGTTGACTGGGTCGGGGGCGGTCGGATACCCGCGGCCATGGGTTTGATTGCCATCCCTAAGTGAAAATGGATGGTAGGTGGAGACTATTCGGTTCCACTTTAATTTTAATTTTAATCTTATAAAATTAATCCACCGTGGAATTTTAAATAGAGAAACTCGCTAACTCAGCTTTTCCGTTTGTCCAATCAGCCTATTAGTTGAAATCGTTAAAGAATTGGACGGGAGTGCTATAAGTGATATTTCTTCAAAATTGGCTATTATTGGCAAAACCTCGAAAGTTTTGGCTATACAAGTCTATTTTGCCTTTTATGAAGATGGAAGTTAGTGATAATTAACATTATACCTACATGCGTGTAGGACTGCAAATGCGATCAGCCGTTTACGAGCACACCAGCCACTTCAATTTTCTCATACTATTTTATAAATAAATAAAAAATCTCATACTAAGTGTGAGTCAGGTCAAGTTATACTCGGAGGATACAGAATGGGTAAATCTATTTTTATATGTTATTTGAAATAAGAACGTTTGTATTTCGCATTACGCACCCAGATGAGCCACACTTTACAAGAAGACATAGAGAAAACACATCATGAACGATGACAGATATAGTAGAAAAAATAATTGAGTCTAAATAGTTGAAAGATAAAGCCT